TACCCAACACTACTATACATGCCAACATCAACTTTAGATTAATCAATGTTCTTTACACATTGAAAGAAGTAAAGAATAAGTATGCTCCTATTTGTCACAATACCACATTTAAGCTTCTAAACATTTGAAATCTTATATTGATTATGAATTAATTGCAAGGAGAAATGTCTTTTTTATATTTTCTAAAAAAATTTTATTTAGTTTTTTTTGCATTTTGTAGAAATTAGTAAACTTAATTTTCATATTTAGATATTTATTGAAGTCTTAAGTAAAGTTCTCTTAAAGTTAAAATTAATGTATTTCATTTCTTTTCTTTTTGTTTATGTTTTCCATGTGGCGTTTTCCATGTGGGATCGATATTGGGGTTTTTAATGAAAACTCTATATTACTTGAAACGATATGTATAATTGCGTAGTACCCCTAATGAAAAAACTACTTCTTTAAATTTTATCATATTACATTTATTCTCACCAACCGCTAAATATAATTTCGGTCAAGTTTTTGACATATCAAGGAATATAAATATCTGCATAATTGTGGGGGCATATCAAGGAATATAAATATCTGCATAATTGTGGGTCGGGTTGATGGTCGTATGAGATTTTAATATGTGTTTTGCTTTTGTTATGGCTGGTTGAGAAGACTGCACATGACAGTCGTATATTCGCTTTTGCGACAAGAAATCAAAAGCACAATTTACCTCACCCACCTTTAGGTTTGTTCAACTATTAGTTATATTTAGATATTTTTTAAATTAATTACTAATTAATGCATTTGGAACAGATAAATATATTTGATCGACGTTGAATATCCCTTACAAAAAGGGTATCTGTAGTTATTTCCGGATACAAAATATCACATTTACAATTTTGAAAGATCCAAAGGTGTTGCTCGCGGCAGGAAATAAATGTTTAACAATAGACACTCCTCCTTACGCGATGTAATTGAAAGAACATTTGAAGTGCGGAAAAAAAACGGGTCAAACTGTGTGATATGTCGACGTATCCTTTTCCGAAACAAGTGCAGATTGTAGTAACTACAATGACTCTCCACAACAACATTCGACGACATCATTCTTGAACTGATATAGACTTCAACACAACTGAAGAAGATCATTTATACATCCCGCTTGAAGCATTTAAATATCACATAAGGCAATCTATACCACAGTCAGAAGTATAATCACACGAAAGTTGCACCAAGGATGACGAAGGTGTTGGAGAAATTGTTGAATTGAGAGAGCAGATTAGAGACGCCAATGTTGGATATTGATTGAAAGATTCTTATTTATTTTATATAGTTCATATTTATTTTTTGTTCCTTGTATATTTGATATTTTTTGTTTGGATTTTTTACACTGCCTGTAATTATTTATTATTTTTTTCTTTTTCTTTTCTTTTTCTTTTGGTGGGTTTGAGAGGGCTATGATGAGTCGTTTGACATTATGGGTTCTTCTGGATGGACTGTTAGTCGTTGTTAGTTGATATGACATGTGAAATCCTAATGAAGACAACCAAGTTTCCCTCTTCTTTTCGATGCTACAGGCTTTTTAGGTTCTTATGGATGGTCTTTTTTTAGTAATATACATATGTGACACATGAGCTTAGTATTAATTGGGTTGCAGGCAACTAAGAACCCTTGTTTCACAATATCTATTATCTTTTTGTAGTGACATGTGTATTGGTTTTTGTACCGAGTTTTCTGAGATCTTACGTCTATATAAAAATGTAATTAATTATTTCTTTTATCAATTTGAGCTTATTCGTTTTATACAGTTCATATTTATTTCCGTTCCCTATACATTTGTTTATGATTGTCCAGGTTTTTAACAATGTTTTTAAGTGTTTTTTCTTTCCTTTCTTTTATTTTTCTTTTGGTGGGTTTGAGAGGTCCATGATGAGACGTTAGACTTTATGGATTCTTCCGAAATGCCTAATTGTCAGTATGGGTTAGTGTCACGTGTGAAATCCTATTGAAGGAAACTGAGTTCCTCTCTTTTTTTGGGTGATGCGACTTTTGAGGCTTTTGTGAGATGCATATGTGACACACGAGCTTGGTATTACGTGGGTTAAAGACAACTAAGAAACCCCTTATTTTATATGGTATGTGATATCCGAACTATTTATACGCAACAGTATAACAATGTCTTTGATGATGTTTTTCACTTATGTTTCCTTACTTTGATATCTTGATGCCCGATTTTAAAAGAGTTTTTAATTTATAGATATATATATATATATATATATATATATATAAATTAGGAAAAAATTAGTATTTTAAGTTTTGAAAATACAAGACCGGACCGATCTTATGTCCTTAGTAGTTTGAATAAACGAGCATAATACCGCAAGCAATGCATCTTTCCCAAAGGGTAGACACACTACTTATTGGTAAGACTCAAATAAATAAACTAAAGAATTTATGACATCCATTTAAGCTTCCAAAAAACCATTTTTTTATGTTTAGTGACAAGATCGCCTATTCAATACAAAAAAAAATCAAATAGAATTTATAATAAGCTAGGTTCTTGAAAGTTTTCTATAAGGGCAAGCTACTATAGTTAATTACATCTTAGATAACCAAAGTCACCTAAGAAAACTCTCGATAAAAATTATGGGAGATTGTATTCAAGAAATTTAAAGGATAATACTTTTTAATAGATCAGACGAAGAGGTGTGAAATTGGAATGGCTCAAATTTGTAACTTTTTTATGGAATCCAAAGGAAGAATATCTAGGAGAAGTCACTGATCCTGAGAAGAACCTTAGTAACTTCCCAAACTATCATATGGTTTGGCTTCAATTTCAGAAAGAAGAATTATCGAATGTTTCATCCTCTCAATGTTTCATCCTCTTAATTTAAAAACCTTGGTAACTTACATTTATGTGAGACAGTCGCACAAATAGCCTAAAAATGTGAGGATTTAGGTCAAGACAAATGACAACCTCAAAATCCTAAAATGAGTTAGGGCTTATATTACATAACATGATTATGTAATAGTCCAAAGATGAGTTGAGGATTTATGTCGCACTAGGCGGAAAACCATGAAATCCTATGGCTTGTTTATTTAATTTCTAAGGAAAGATGTGTTATTGTAGATCCTCATGCTGTTGCAGATCCTCATGTTGTTGTAGATAGCTATCGTAGAAGGCTGCCCAAAAAGCTAGCTCCATACTCCTTGACAAAGTAGCAGTCCCAAAGTTTAAGGTTTAACGGTTTAAATGACAAGTTAAAGTTCAATCACTATGGGGGCGTTAAAGTTGATTAGAGCAACACCGGTTAAGATCCCATGGTTCCCTCATTATAGCACCACTATTTCCTTTGGATTCATTTAATCCAAAAGAATTTAATAAACTCAACTCAATGAGTTCCATAATTTTTTTTAGACCGTGGGAAATCTCGTTAGCAACAGGATGTGACCGCCGCCGAGGGATTCCCGATCATCTGATAGAGACATCTTAATTTAGTTGT